AGAGTTCCGGGGGTCAACACCCCCGCGGCCCGGTCTGTGACCAGGCCTCATGGTGGATCAGGGCCTGATCAACCAGGCTGTTATTGCTGGCTGCACGCAGTCTAACGCACGAACCACAGGTACCGACTTTAGGTGCCTGTCCAGTGCGTACACATTGTACACCATGCAAAAAATTAAAATCCCCAATCCTTAGAAAATATAAGAAATACTGTGCAATTATTATTATAGCTAAGCGCTAAACCCACAAGGGTCATACATCCCAAATACTGGGCGAGATGCTTATACACATGAGGCAGCCATCTTTAAATTTTCTTGACCTTTATGCTGGTAAACTATTATTATAATCATGGGTAGGTGGAAGCGCTAAAATCGTAATTAAACAGCCTGGAGAGATTCGGGCGTCAATCACGGGAACCGTCTTGACAGATCCAATTCCCTGATCAGAGCCACTTACCAGCGTCAACGGAACCTCCCTTAGGTGCTGTCCAGTGCGTAAAACATTGTTGACCATGAAAAATCTAATAATCTCCCTTCCTGAGAATTAAGATTGGCATTTCATTATCAAGCTGCTTAAAACCTTAATATTAGTGCTATCATGTAGGACATTTTATTTCTTGACCTTTTGTATTAAACTAATTTACTGGGCGCAAACCGAGATTAAACAGCATAAATATATAAATCAGAACAATACAGATAATTTAGATCATGGAGTGCGTCAAGATCCCTTGAGGTAATTCTGACTAATCGAATTGTATATTAATCTTTTTAGCAATGATGCCGTTTTTACCAAAGTTTGTTTGAACTTAAAAAGTCTTTTAGTGTTAATAAATTATATTAAATTAAATCTCAATGTTGGCAAGCTAAACTAAATTAATAAAGTCATCCTTGGGGGGGGAGTCTGGAGGAATTAGCTTAATTCGAATTGTTAACAAGATCCAATTCTAAAAAGTCATGTTAACATCAAGGGAATCTATGCTTTTAATAAAGGTTTATTCTTACCATTGGAAACTCTGCATATAATGATATATTGTAATAAAGACTTTTATTGGTTACCCTAGGTAATCTACACATAAGATAAGATTTCGTTCGGATTTTTAACCCCGGAGGGTTAGCCACCCAGGATAATCCAAGAAAGTCAGTGCGTCATCGAGGACTGTCTAACTTATTTCCATTGGGGTCCTCAATCTTGTCCCCCAGGATGCGACCCGCACCAGTCGACTAACACCCAGGTACCTATTTGCTGCTAGGTGAACAGGACAACAGGTGTAAGGAAACGTGTCGAAATGTTTCCATCCGCCGGGAATCGAACCCGGGCCCTCCGTGTGTGAAGCGGGAGCTTTAGCCACCAGGCCTGAATAAATTTGTACCTGAATAAACTTGCTTACTTAAGTTCTATAGAAAGTTTATTAAGGACATTATTAATTAAGCTTGAAGGTCAAGTTCAATAAAGTTTATGGACTTGAAAATTGTCTCCAAGCCAAGCGTCGTCGTCTTCAATTAAATAAGTTTATTAAGGTACAGGTGCACTTAAATGCAGTTATAAAAATGTAGATGATTACAATTATTATACATAACGTAAATTACCTAGGATAACCCCCCCCCCCGTCCAAAAAAAAAAGTAATTGACATTGCCTAATTGTAGTTTTTATTCCAGTTTGAAGGTAATTTATAAATTTCAAGCGTGTAATTTCCAATACAAGTTGTGGTGGAGGCTGACTGCTCCGTCCATGTGATGGTGTTCTTGATCCAAGGTGACGGAGTACACATCATCTCAGTCACTGGGTTTGTTTACGTCTCATAATGGATCCAACACAGTTTTCAGTTTTCTTTATTTTGGTTGTGATATTGTTCACTTATTTAATATTAAGTTTCTGTTCATTTGTTTAGTACATATATATTTAGTTATTTAGACTTACACCAGAAATATTAAGGTGGTTTTATCCATTATTTGTTATTGAATTATTTTGTATGTTGTGTATTGTTACAGTAACGGTTTTGTGTCCCTTTTTTTTGTATATTATATATTAAATGAAGTTTATTTTTCTGATTTTTTTTTGTCAAGTAAAGTTTATTTTTCATTACATTATATAACAACATTATAAGGTGTTATATAATTAATAAATAATCTTATTCACGCACTGCAGTTAACGCAAATTTAACATTAAACGTATGTTAAATGATAATAAGTTTTTTTTTTTATTTTTTTTTGCCATACGTAATTTACACATATATTAATATGTAAGACAATTGTAATCATGCAAAAATATAATTTTGTACCTAAATAGACTTAAACTAGCTATTAACATAAATAACCTCACTAACTAGTAATTTATATAGGTAAATCCTAATTTATTTGATTATTAGCTAATGTTCATTTAATGGAGTGTCTATTATCTCGTGAAAGTTAAGTGAGTTTTTTATTAATATATTGTACAGTGAGAGATGTTTTATGGTAAGTAAAGTGGACAAACTGTGTCAGTCAACATGACACCGGACATACACACCTTTCCCTTCTTATAGTCTTTATTTTACATTTTAATTTATCCGTGAAATGCTGCATTTAATCGAAAAATTGTAAGGTAAGAAAAGTAACATATTAGAAAGTATTAAATTAGTCTTTTCTTAGCCCAGACTAAAGTTACTTGATCAGATTGTTATTCACTAAAATGTCCTATATTTAATTTATTAGTTACTGATTACTTTGGTAAATATATATCTCCTCATGCCTTGATGCTGGTGAGGGGCTCTTGATCCAGGGAATGGCACTTATTCTTCCCTTCCTTGGATTGGACCTGAATGCTTCCTATTCTCCAGGCGCTATATGACCCTTGTGAGTTTAGTGCTTTCCTTCCTGATAAAAACGGATAAGAAATGGCAAATATTTACAATAGTGTTGAGCTGACCTGGGAGGTAACAGCAGGCATTTAATGTTATCGTTGGTCAAATATTTATTTTTCACCTTTATAACTGCCTGTACCATTTATGTTTATCTTCCCTCTACTTCACCTCAGCAAGAAACAATGAAACTGAAGGTTCAACATTGAACTAGATGATGCTACAGTAAACCGCATTAAACAATGCAAACAATAAAACTTGGGACATATAATTGTACCAACAATGCTTTGTATAACAACATCACTTAGTGTAGACCCACTGGAACTAGGTCACATAAGTAAGTTTATTCAGGTATACATAAATACAGTTTATTCAGGTATACATAAATACAGTTTATTCAGGTATACACAAATACAGTTACATAGAATTATCATACATAGCAGCATATGTGTAGAGAACTTAGGATAACCCAAAAAAGTCAGACAGTGGCTTATTTCCATTGGGGTCCTCAAGTTAAATGTGTTTTCCTATGTTAATTCTTCATAATTTAATATATGTATGCCTATAACAGAACCATTATACAAATTTATACAGGACTACTATTTTAAAACAATTCATAGATTTTTTAAATAAATGTGCTCATATCTTAACCTAACCTGTATATCATTTCCTATATAGATGTGCAGAAGTAGAGCTACGACAACGGTACCCTATTTTCATTAATTAGTTTGTCATATTCTTCCAGTGGTAGTAGTAATTACTGTCTCCCCTTATGTCTGGATTTCACTGAGGATTTTGATTAACAGCAGGACACAATATTGTTGAAAAAATTCTCTCGTGGATTGAGGCATGGATGACTAATAAGCAGCAGAGAGTTTATGTAAATGGTGCAAAATCAAAATGGGGGCCATTAACGCATAACATTCCACATGGCTAAGTTTTGTACTGTATCAGTTTGGCATTAGAGTTCTGCTTGCAAATACATGTACATAACCATTTTTATCAATTCAAATAGAGATCTAGTTTTCCTCAATCACAGTAATAATGATGAGCTATGAAGATATTTATAATACTTTGATAACAGCCAACAAACACAATTAATATTATTAAGACCCTGTCTGTAGTGTTTGGGAATAAAGCTAAAAATATTGAATTGAACATGAAGGTAAATAATATACAAATCAGAAGACAAGATGAAGGAAAATTCTTAGATATACACCATAACAGCAAAAAATATTTAACACTCACAGCCAGCATATATCTTGGAAAATTTCTAAAACAGTAGCCATTCTTTGAAAAATACATTACTAAGTATCTCAAACAAAATCACTATTTCTATTCTGTGTTCTATCATTACCTCACTTACAGTACTGTCAGTACCATACATGGGGAGCTACAGCAGCAAATTACCAAAAGCCCATTGTAACTCAACAAAAATATGCTGTTAGAATTTTCACTCAGATACCAGACAACATATTCCAACAGTATTCAGAAATTTAAATTTACTGTACCTACAAAGCATCCACACATACATACTGGTGTGCTTACTATAGCATCCACACATACTGGTGTGCTTACTATAGCATCCACACATACTGGTGTGCTTACTATAGCATCCACACATACTGATGTGCTTACTATAGCATCCACACATACTGATGTGCTTACTGTAGCATCCACACATACTGGTGTGCTGTGCATCCCCACTGTAGCTATTCCACACATACTGATGTGCTTACTATAGCATCCACACATATTGGTGTGCTTACTATACATCCACACATACTGGTGTGCTTACTATAGCCCTCCACACATACTGTGTGCTTACTATAGCATCCACACATACTGATGTGCTTACTGTAGCATCCAACACATACTGGATGTGCTTACTATAGCATCCACACATACTGGCTGTGCTTACTATAGCATCCACACATACTGATGTGCTTACTATAGCATCCACACATACTGGTGTGCTTTTCTGTAGCATCCACCCCATACTGATGTGCTTACTATAGCATCCACACATACTGATGTGCTTACTATAGCATCCACACATACTGGTGTGCTTACTATAGCAAACCACACATACTGGTGTGCTTACTTAGCATCCACACATACTGATATGCTTACTATAGCATCCACACATACTGATGTGCTTACTATAGCATCCACACATACTGGTGTGCTTACTATAGCATCCACACATACTGATTGCTACTGTAGCATCCACACATACTGGTGTGCTTACTATAGCATCCACACATACTGATGTGCTTACTATAGCATCCACACATACTGGTGTGCTTACTATAGCATCCACACATACTGGTGTGCTTACTATAGCATCCACACATACTGGTGTGCTTACTATAGCATCCACAATACTGGTGTGCTTACTATACATCCACACATACTGGTGTGCTTACTATAGCATCCACACATACTGTGTGCTTACTATAGCATCCACACATACTGATGGTGCTTACTATAGCATCCACACATACTGATGTGCTTACTATAGCATCCACACATACTGGTGTGTTACTATAGCATCCACACATACTGGTGTGTTACTATAGCATCCACACATACTGGTGTGTTACTATAGCATCCACACATACTGGTGTGCTTACTATAGCATCCACACATACTGGTGTGCTTACTATACAATCCACACATACTGGTGTGCTTACTATAGCATCCACACATACTGATGTGCTTACTATAGCATCCACACATACTGGTGTGCTTACTATAGCATCCACACATACTGGTGTGCTTACTATAGCATCCACACATACTGATGTGCTTACTATAGCATCCACACATACTGGTGTGCTTACTATTAGCATCCACACATTTCTGGTGTGCTTACTATAGCATCAAAATTTACATCCACACACATACTGGTGTGCTTACTATAGCATCCACACATACTGGTGTGCTTACTATAGCATCCACACATACTGGTGTGCTTACTATAGCATCCACACATACTGATGTGCTTACTATAGCATCCACACATACTGGTGTGCTTACTATAGCATCCACACATACTGGTGTGCTTACTATAGCATCCACACATACTGATGTGCTTACTATATACACATAGGTGGCTTCATAAAAAAATACCATGTGTTAAAGCATCTTAAATATTCTCTACTATATATACATCTTGGAAAAGCTGCCCAACGGATTGCCAAAAGACACAATAATAGCAAACCAAATACTGTTTTATTATCCCAATTACAGGTGGTTTCTAAACCTCCACACATAAAGGGGCTTTCAAAGATCAAACTTTTTACTTGCATCCAACAATGGTTTTATTTCCACAATTGTGTGTTATATAGAAACTACTTTTGATATCTCCGAAATTTTTGTGTCATATTAGATCCAAATATGGTTTTAATCATACCCTATTTTCTGGCACATCCACACACTTTTTTCTTCACCAAAATGGGTTCTTAAAATCCCCCCTGTGCTTCAAGGCAACACATAGGTTTGGGTGCTTTAGTGTAAAGCAAGAGGGTCATTAGCCCTTGATGTGATTACTGATATTAAAGGTTTAAATACCCATTGTTACCTTATATTGCTGCTAAAATAATCTTTGGAACTTTCCCAAGGATTGCAAGATCAATAATATACAAATGTTTATATCCTCATTTTTTTCAGCTGAGTAGAACTCCATACACTAAAATGGTCCCAAAAATGTGATCTTTTTACTAAGATTGCTGTTCCATATTTCATTTAAGTTTCAAACGTACATGATCTGAACTTTAAATTATGTAGATCATACTGTAATCTCAAATATACTGTACTATATTTCCCCTTTTTTACTAGTGTGCCTTTGTTTTTCCCGGCAATAGTTTAAATATTCGCCATCATGGTAGGGGTATTTTAGTATAAACAGGAGGGTCATAGGTTGAATATGATTCTGTCCGACCGTAATACGGTCTGTCACGTGGCCTTCTATCTGGCAAAATATGGCAACTTCCAAGTTTTTTCCAGCAAAAATTTCATAATTTTTCCATTTTTCTTTTCCTTCAGTTAAGTTATAACTAAATTGTCCAAAAATTTTGGTTCCTGTCTTCTGACAACATTGCTGTTATATCTTTATAGTTCATACTTACATGATCTAACTTTAAAAAATGTAACTATAAAGTAGCACACAATAGTAAATGTACTATATTAACATCCCACAGTGGTCCCCCCCGCTTTTTAGTACCTGGCAATCGAAAATTCGCCAATCATAGGGTATTTCGTATAAACAGGACTCCCCTTTTCATAGGTTACTCGCATCGTAGTTTTGTCCGGGGCGCGTACCCACGCGTGAGCCGGGGCAGCAGCCAGTCTGGCATTGTTTACCAGTGAGCGAAGGTCCCCTCACGTGCTCCAGCGAAATATTTCATAATATTCCATTTATTTTAGTGCTTGCAAGTGCTAAATAAGCTACCATGGCTCCAAAGAAAGCTCCTAGTGCCAAGCCTGTGGTAAAGAAGGTGAGAAATACGATTGAATTTAAGAAAACCATCATCGAACAATATGAAAGTGGCACAAGTGTGGCCGAACTGTCCAGGATGTATAAGAAACCCTACACAACCTTATATTCCATAGTGGCCAAGAAAAAGGAAATAAAGGATGCTGTTGTTGCAAAGGGAGTAACTATGCTGACAAAAATGAGATCACCAGTACTGGAAGAGGTTGAGAAGTTATTATTGGTGTGGATAAATGAGAAACAATT